ACTTAGAAAACTTTGAAAGAAAGCCGTTGCACTCGACAATTTGCGGTCAGATGGGCTTTCTCAAGTTTGGGGATGGTGAAGGTGAAGGTCAAGTCTAGTTTTGGGGTCAACTTTCAAAGCCCTTTTGAAGACAAGAAGGCACATGGTTCTCAGTACCAAACTTGTTGTTCGCCCAGCAAGAACCCCTTCAGAATACACTCCCAAGCACCAGCATTTGAGTTTCAGGGTTTCATCACTGCTGTTGCTCCTGTTCTTGTTTTGAGATGTTGCTGTTGTTGCTGCAGTTTTGGGTTGGGCCTAGCCTTTGGAACTCGCCATGGTGCATGGAACCCTTTGGTTCGCGAATGCTGTCTGTCCCCCTGGAAGATTCAGCTGTTTGTCCATGGACTTTGGCAAAGCTTCCAGATCTGGCCTGATTTAACACACATACCCTTAACCCTACACCCTAAACCCTCAACTCTAAACCCTAAACCCTGAACCCTAAACCCTAAACCCTAGACCCCAGACCCCAAAACCCTAAACCCCTTGTTCTGGGCCCTAGGGTCGCGACATGTTGATGCGTGACTACCAGCTTGCAAGCTTGTTATTGCTTGTCACTGCTCACCTCCGCATGCTTTCCATTATCCCAATAATGTAACACCTATATAACCCCAATATTACTCCTACACTGGGCCTAACCGATAATTACCCCTATCTAACCCTAAATAGTAGTTTCCATTTCCTGTTCCATCATCCCTTCGCGAACTTTCGAACAGTTCAAGTCCATCGCCAGACAAGCAGGATGCATGCTGGAGCTGCCAAGAGATAATACTCGGTGCCCAAGCCAATGTCTTGGAATCAATACTTGGCCGGATGCTCGCACTTACATGCTGTGCGGGCCTCGGTTATCCGGAATCCGCTGCTGACAAAATCGCGGTCGAGCTTTCATAGGCTGGCCGAACATGGTAGCTGCTGGCAGACCCTGCCGCAATTCAGCAGATGAGGCCTCACACCAATACCTGTCTACATTCTCATAGAAGCTGTAGTCCCCTACATATCCCCTATGATAGTCCCCTATAATGCTCCCCTTATATACCTGAGCTATAGTCTAAGCTCCTTAAACCGGGTTATATAGGGGATAGTATAGGGAACTATTATGAGGGTTATTAAGGAGTTTGACTATAGCTCACCTGTCCACATTCTGATGTATGCACTGCGCGTAGAATTCAATAGGAGCCTCTTTGTCTGCACCTCTTTTGCGGGCAGCCCTCCCAGGCAAGGAATTGTTTTTTCGACTTTTCAGCCAGAGTGAGACCGAACATGAGTTACACCGCTAAACATCCCCGGCTTAGACTTTCCTCCCAAGGTGGCTGGCGTGCAGAAAGAATAAAGATAATAGTAAGAGCACTTGTTGTAAGTTTTTTCAACCCCCGGTTGAAGTAAGTTTAGGGTTTAGGGTTTGGAGATTTAGAGCTTCGGGTTTAGCGTAATAAAAACAACCATAGTAAAGAGACTAATATTAAGTAGTAATACTAAGAAAAGTAATAAGAGTACTAGCAGTAATAGTAATAGACTCGACTGATCTTGGATCGTTCCTTAGCCAAATTTAGCTCAAAACAGCTTGAACGTTCCTGGTGCCATTTTAGATTAGGGCTTAGTTAGGGTTTAGGGTTGAGGGTAGAACCTCCAGCACAGGGCTTCACTAACAAGATCAAGTTTCGAAGCAAGCACATGATGCATGCATGCAAACTGGACCTCAACAGTTCTACTCGCTTGCATCTTGTGAAGCTACTTCGTGAAGTTTGATTCTGGTCCGACCCATGCCAGCAAAACACATCTTCATCCGCCACCTCAGAAGTGAGGCCTTTGGTGAGTTGGTGACGAAAAGGACCCAACCAATTCCTCCCGGGGCCGAGAGTGGCAAAGGCTGAACGAGATCAAGTGAGTAGTGTTTCTTTGGTGGTTGAACCTAGTAAGATAATATTCCTTATATGAAATACTATATCTCAAAAGGAGGATATAATCTTACTCTATAATGGGTACCACAGTATCCCCAAATAAAATACTACTCAAGTACTAACTCCCAAGGTCTTGGAGTCGAGCTATCAAGGTTGCTTGTTGCTAGCACCAGTACTGCCGCCTAGCTTCCCCGAGAAACCCTTAAGACTATAGTCCCCCTGAAGTAGATAAAATATGGATCATATTATAATGAGATCCCCATATACTCCATATTCTATCCACTTAGGGGGGACTATAAGGGTACAAAGCGAAAAGGGTACCTCTGGGGCACCTAGCTCCTGTTGAATTCTTTGCTTCAATAGCTTCTGTGAATGCCGAGGGTGTAGACCAGCAGCTAGCTGGGGTTCATACAGACTACATGGCTGCATCAAGAAGCAAATCAGAGAACTGAGAGCTACGCTCTGGGGATATAGCCCCCTTAAGTAGATAGAATATGGCTTTGGGCATGTTATAATAAGATCCCATATACCCCATATTCTATCTACTTAAGGGGGACTATACTCCAAAGGTGAGTCAAGTTAAACGGTTCCAGGCTCTTTGGGAACAAAGCCCAATCCAACACTTAAACTCCTAAGCTTCAGCAGCAACAACCTGGCTTGGATATAGGTTATATAGGGATAATGGAAAAGAAAATGGAAACTACTTTAGTCTATTGGGGTCATATACGGATAATGGAGAAGAAAATGGAAACTGCTAGGGTATGTTATCCCAATATAATATAATATAATATAATACAATATAATAAAATATAATAGGTTCAATTTTCTTTTCCATGATCACAATACAATCCGAATACAACCCTAATACCACCACAAGAGGTACCTTTGGGTCTCGCATTGGTCGGCGGTTTATTGTCGGTCTTCCTGTCTTCAGGCCTCTTAGTAGGACGCCTTGCTTTCCCACGACCCGGCCAGGGACGGAGAGGTCTTTCCCTCCTGCAGGTTCGGCCAAGCGAACACTGGACTTGGGGGTCATGAAGAGTTGTGCGCGCATATCCTGATATGCGAAATACACCAGTTTTCAAGGCTTGCCTGCAGCAATCTTCCCTGCCCTACAGGCAAAGACACGCCTGATTTGTTATTTAATTCCAAACCTCAGACTCAGAAAACCCTTGATCCACCTGAAACATGCAACCTGTGGTGTCCAACATGACGACATGCAATGCTGCTAGTCCACGCAATGCGAAACTGCATAGTTAGAAGGTTGCAAGGGCTCGATGAAACCTGTACATGGAAGTTTCCCTAAATTACTGTTCCCAAAATGGGGGAAATTCATATAGGGCCCCGTACTATAATAGGAACCTAAATATAGGACCCCGTATTATAAGGAATTTAGAGCAATCCCCATATGCAATACAAAATAACAGTGTGCGCATGACTGTGCAAAAGCAGTATCCCTTCACACCCCAAAACCCTAAACCAACCCTACCCTTGCCCCAAAAAAACCCTACTCGCCTGCACAGTCACGAAGGCAGCGGCATCGGGGTCCTGGCAAGCAGAAGGCTTGATTTGGGGGTTGTTGGGGGTTGGGGAGCCTACAGCACTTCTTCAGTGCTGGGAGCCTACAGCACTTCTTCAGTGCTGGGAACCTACGGCACTTCTTCAGTGCCGGGGGCCTTATCAGCACTTTTGCAGTGCTGCCTACAAGCGGCACTTCTTCAGTGCCGGGGGCCTGCCGGGGGCCTTATCAGCACTTTTTCAGTGCTGCCTACAAACCCATCAGCACTTTTTCAGTGCTGCCTAAACCCTTCCGAGTCCTGCGCAGCGACAGCAGCGAGCAGCAGCAGCCGCAGAAGCGCGCCAGCCACAGGATTAGGGGCTAAGGGTTTTGGTTTAGGGTTTAGGGTTTAGGGATTGGGTTGTTCTGGCTGGTTTTGTTGAGTTTAGGGTTTAGGGTTTAGGGTTTAGGGGTTTAAAAGGTAAAAATGGGACCGAGCTCTGAGGGGCCTCAAAGGTAGAAATGGGATCGAGGATCTGTGACCTACTGGATCTCACTAGCCTGAGCTAAAAAAGTATGCTGGTGGGTTGCGTGACTGCCTGAGGCTCTGTGTAAGGACAGCTGACCACTGAAGACACTGAAGGCAAGTCTGCAACTTTGAGCTTGACAGTCGGCTACCCGGGGTCCATAGGGTCTAGCTAGGGGCGGCAGGAGGGTTTAGGGTGTTTGAGGCTTAGGGATTTGGGGATTTGGGGTTGGGGGTTTAGGATGTAGGTTTTGCATCTGGACCACTTGAGCGGTGTTATTGATGGTTGTTCCTCCTATACAATTGCCTGTTTTATTGCCACTACATGCCACGACTACTATTATTGTTACTTTCTATTAAATTTCTATATCTGGACTACTAATATAAAACCTAGTAGCTCCTTAGCCCCCTCACAATCAAAGCGTAGATGACGTTGTTGTGATGGTGATGTGTGTTGGTTGGTGGTGACTGGTTGGTTGTCATGATGCGCTGCACAAACTCTTGGAGGACTGTAGCTACAAGAGGGGGCAGTGGTGCCATGCTTGTGGGGTGTGTGGAGTGTCGGTGGAGGAAGTGGCAGGTGTGGTCATGGCTGCTTGCTGTTGTGCGGCGTTTAGCTGGTGGTAAATGAGGTCTCTGAGGAGTGGCATTTTGCAGTGCTGTGAAGGGAGGTTGTCTGCGCAGGTAGTGGTTGATGTGAGGGTGGTCGGTGATGATGTCTATGGTGTTGCTGTTCCTTGCTGCTGCACCGGTGGGTATCTTCTTCTTGTACCGGCTATAGGGGGGTACTACTACCGCCCCCCGAGGCGCAGCCTCAAGCCGTGCGCGGTCCAGTCTGCTCAGTCTCACCCAGGAGGCCCGAACTACCGACCAATGTGGAGTCATTCCCCCTCACAGCAAAAGCATACTCCTTAAGAACATCCGCAATCACCGAGTCTACTCAACTGGAGCGTGAAAAGATAGCACGCTGTCTCTCTCTCTCTCTCTCTCTTCCTATTCCCCTGTGAATTTTCCCATGTTTGTGTTTTCTTGGCGTGGCCTCCTCGTTCACCAGGAAGTGAATTAAGCCCAGGAGGTCCACACGGGCAGTGGCACTGGCATCCTGACATACCGTTGAATCTTTAGAGCTTCCGATTCCTCAACATGAGCATTTTTGGGAAGTTAATGATACGTGTATTATGAAGGAATGACAGAGGTTCCTAGGGATTCTTGAACAGCACCAATGGACAGGTTCTTGAACCACTGCTTCTGTCTTGTAAGAATGAGGGTGCTCATGTTTGCTTCAACCATCAAAGGAAAACACAAGTTACCTTTGGTTTTTTGGCTTCGCTCGGCTCTCTCGAGGTCCTTCTTCAACCGAGGGGAGCACCAAGCACCATGAAAAAGTGCTATGACAGCAACGCCCAAAACAACCACACTAGCGTTAGCCAGAACACTGAATCTATCCAGGATTCATTTGAACGTTAAACGAGACAGCTTAAGTCAAACCAGCAGTGCCAGGAAACGATGAGAGCGATGATGATGGTGTTGATGATAAGAACTGTCACCATCATCATCAACATCACTATCATCACCATGATACGGGGGCGTGGAGATGGAAAGGACAGATGGTATTCCTACCAACCCTTACAAATCACAAACAGAGTAGCAAAAAAAGAGGGAAAACTTTTCTTCACACAGCACCTGAAATGCAACAGAGCACACATGAGACCTCGTTTTGGCAGCTCCAATTTCAAGAGACCTGAAAACTCGTATTTGTAAAACGCTCTTTGTCCTTGAATCACTTAACTGTCTAACTGCCATCCGGGGTTGTAAAAAACACTAATTCCTCTTGCCCGCACTTTCGGGGCGACAGCCTCGGGATTTGCCTGTCGCGCAAGAACTGGCACCAGGTTAGCAACCTCAAAGCTGGCCGTCCAACAGCGAGAAAAGGTTCGACATAGCGACATTATATGATGCTTACGACCATCGCTGCGGTCATAAGGACATATCCTGTAAACCATGACCAGTAGCACCATCGTTGCTTAAGCACAGTTTCTTGTAATGAGAAAACAAAGGAATTTAGATATCCAGCAGCCCGGGCACTTCTTCCAAAATTTGTTCGTGGTGGGAGAGATCGACATGCTTGAAGCTTTTTTTTCCTGGGTTCGCAGGTTTCGGATCTGAACCCCAAAGAAAATGTCAGCGAATCACACGTCCTGCTAAGACCGAACGTCCAAATGCTGCCCTTGTACCAACAACCCTGTGACACCTGTGCATGAAGTGGGAACTAGCATGCGTCTACAGCAAAGTGCTTCCCGAACAAAAGTCCATCAAGTTTCAGTCGTTTAGCTCCTGGACGTCGGATGGCAGGGAAAAATCATGAAAAATCCAAGAGCCACACATGTTCTGCCACCGCTGGCCCAGCATTTCTCAGCCTCAGCATCGGAATGCATCACCATGTGTGAACATTTCTCCTGATGAAAGCGGTCTCTAATATGACCGAAGTGCCAAGCAAAGGACACATAATTTGAGAAACTCTCCGTTGAGAAGACAACATATCACCGCAGCAAAGCTGCAACGTCTCCAGAACGTGACGGTTCGGACTGGTCTCCTGCAATGACATGTCTAATGGAAAAAAAAGAAGCTCCTTCGGGTGCCTACTCCAGCGCACTAGAGCTGAGCCCTAATTGTGGAAACTACAAATAAAATTCTGCACAAAGGCCTCCCACAAGATCTGATCTCCGCCTTGAAGCAGGTCGGCCAGACGAGTCCTCCAGGAGATGGACCCTCAAAACGCGCCTCTAGTCCAATCTGGCCAATTGCTGAAGCAAATCAAAAGACCGAAGAGGCCAGGTCCTGAGGTGCTCTTCGTAGAGCTGCCGCGGGGACCTGCTGGGACAAGCGGCTTCGGGATGTGGAGAGATGAGCAGAAGGGGATTGGGTGGGATGGGTTGGGGGTCTTCAATGCTGTTTGACAGATGCCTACCCAAGAGCTGAGACAAGTGATCGATGTTGGCATCGACGACTTGCGTGCTGCACTCCTTCGCGAACAAGACCATGCCAAGTCTTCAACGAACCGAAGCCGTTGACCTCACTGCTCTTCATCCGCAGCAGTAGGTCGAATATCCGCGGCCAGTCTTGCACGCATGCCTCCTGGCCTGAACGTGCCACATCGCTCCTGTATGCTCCTGCGAACACTGATTAGCACATGCCCGCCTGCTTTCAGTAAAGATTCCGTGGCGCCAAGCACAGAGGTCAGCAACTCGCTGTGGACGCCCTCCTCGAGTTGGCGTCGTGTAATTACGAGTAGCATGCAGGAGAGCCCTGGACTCCATCAGAATGTCCTCCAGAAAGCGGAGCACCAGCTTCACTTCCTTGGCCTTTAGCCTACGGCAGAAGCCATTCGTGCCAACATTCCTCAGCTTTCGCTGCTATACAATGCAAGGAGACTCAAGCGCATAAATTCTCTTAAAGCGGAAGCATGCAGAAGCCACGTTACTCAAGCAATGAGGCCGTGAGGCCCAAGCGCAGCCGGGTGTATCAGCTTTGAGAGTACCACAAAAACCTGCCTCCGAGACTCAGCCTGCATCGCAGCATAGGCGGCAGCATGGCTGCAAGTCGCATGTTCACATGTTCGTAAGAACGGTCGGTAAGGCTTGTGCTGTCATGGCCGCAAAGTTTTTGACACCCGCTAGGACGTCCTGCAAGACTTCTCAAGCGTCAGCCGGTGCTAATTCGCTCTAAAGAGGATCAGCACTTCAGAGAGTGGAGCTTTATGCCATCCCATCAAGGGACTGTAGAATCCTCTCCTGCACCGTCCTCGTCGTCTGGCCTCAGCTGTGACAACAGCATCAACAATTATGACATCAAAATCATTCTCCGAAAAGAGAGGCCCCAGCGTGCGACTGGGTCCCTGGCGGCCCTGCTTGTCTTGAGGCCACAGCTCATCAAAAGAGGTGCCCTTTCGCTGACCACCTCTGCAGAAGCCGTTGCCAGAAACTGTCAGCAAGTTGCTTGCAGGCCTTCATGCTTGAGGCCCATGTGTCTGCCAACCACTTCCAGAACCTCAAGCCACGAGAGGCAATCAGTGAAAATGATTCACGTGCGGGGATCTCAGGCTAAAACCAGCTCTGCATCAAGGAAGACTCCCACCATGCTGGCACCTTCAACGAAGAATCTGCGACGTTAAGACAGCAGCAGCATTCGGCCTCTTGTAACTGCAGGCAGTCCGACGTTTTTACGAAACTGAGCACCACACACAGCAGTGACGCCTTGGCAACCTTTTGGTCGTCGTCAGCCTGGGCCTTACATCAAGCAGCGGAACGGGATGGTTCGCCATTGCCCAAAAGCGCAGCCGACGGGTTCCTGCTTTACCTTCTAAACATGATTCGTAAAATCATTCTGTGAAGCCAGACTGCTTAGTAGCCTACAAGTCCCAAAGGATTCGTAATAGTTCGCGATCGAAAGCCACCAAAGGCGTTCAGAAGCGTTGTAGACTTGTGCAGCTCACTGCTTCTGAAACCATATGAGTCGTACAAACTCAACACCGTGGCTTTGGCTCCGGGTCAGAACCCCTGCGGGCGGGCTGGAGGAGCGTTTGTAGGTAGCCATGAAATGCAATCAGAGGGGTTCAGCGTTCGCACGGGCGTTCGCAAACGGTTCGTGAAGCGCCTTCAGAACACGCATCCGAAGGCGGATTGAGGCGCGAGCAAGTGTTCGAAGGCGTTCGAAGGCGGTTGGCCCACAATAGCGATTTGAAAGGGATTTCTGATCGTTCGGGCCTGGAAATTGCCAGTTACATGTGTGTGATACTTTCTCAATTCTCAATCCCAATCCAAAACCACAATTGCAATAATGGCAATCTGATGCGATCATCGTGATAATTCAGACTCTTCGTGCCAATTCCCATGAACATGGTTTGGCAGGTAAGTGTTGGGGTCCAGTTGTTCAGGACGAAAACCGCTGCGGGCGTGTCCGCAAAGCATCTGCAAAGCTTTCGCAAGTGGCGTACGTAACCGTTCACAAGCGTTCGCGAGTGTCGCGCCGGGACTGGAGCCCGTAATTGTCGTCACTTTTGGACCGTCTTTTTTCGTCAGAGCTTGCGTCGCAGTACGTGACTGCACGTGATTGCTGCTCCCAACAGGTGTTTTTGCTGACTTGTTTCCTGAATCCTTTAGCAGGTGGGATCCTGGACGTAGTTCCGCGAGTCGCATCGTGCGTGCCACATCATGTAGTATGCGCGAATTACGTGTCGTGTGTCAGTCTTCGGATTCCTGGCTCCAATCAGGTTCTTCTCAGCTTGCAGCCTTGTACAGATGAACCAGCACAGCATCCAGAAACGGTGCAATCTGCTGATTGGCGATGACCTCAAGTGCGCATCGTGCCGGCAAGACAGAACAGCGCGCCTACAAACTGAGTTCCTCACAAGCAGAACTTGCAACAACCTTGCCTCGCGCATCAAATGCACTACACTCTGAGCGGAAACCCAGGGATCTCAGAGAAGGCACATGAGCATCGAAGCATCCGAAACTAGGACTCCAACGGCTGCTTCGCGGATGTCCGTCGTCCATTGTGTGAGATTGGCAAGCACCTCGCGAAGAAAAACAGATGCAGACTGCTGCCGTGACGTTCCTCAGGAAGATTACCCTCAGGATGCTTGAGTTTGCCGTCAGTTTGTCTGCGTGTGCAGGGCTTACGTATCAAAGAATAGCATCCTGACGATGCAAACCAGTCAGCAGTTGGGCTCTCGTATGCGGAGGTGTAGACTACTTCTTCGAACCATGCCGCATGACTCCTGCACTTGAGCGGGCAGCCAGCTCCTGTGCAGCTTTTGAAATTCTGGTCGACTCAGTTGGGCTTGGTACGGATGCACATAAACATTTTTGATGTCTGAACAAAGCAGGCAGTGTTCCTGCTACTGTCGGCTCGTGCATATGAGTGAACCGCAGTCCTGTGGGACTACCCTGGACAGCTGTGTATATGCGAGGATCTTGCAAAGTTCCATATGATATGTTCAGATCGTGATTGAAAAATCCCAGCATGCTGGCTAGAATTCCGCCACCGACACTTCTCAAAGCCGCGTGCTCTTCGTCCCACACAAGGAAACAAACAAATTGCTCACAGCAAGCTGGGGTTCTGTGAGAGAGATTGCTACCGGTGCTGCTCTGAATCTTCGAACATTGCTGCTGATGCGACTGCTGCTGCTGGTACTACGATGGAGCATCATCAGACTTTTATACCACTGTTGTTTTGTTATTACAGAGCGGCTGGACCGGGCACGTGGGGTTGGGTGATGTAGTTGATACTGTTGATGGAGGAAATCTTGCACCCACGTTAAGTTCCTAAAGTCCCCTGAATTACAGTAGTTTAGGGCCCCGAGGTGGTGCAAGATTTCCTCCATCAACAGTATGAAAAGGCGTGAGGTCCTTGGAGTTATTACGACGTGCACAGCTGTTGCTAGCACCGAGGCTACGGCCTGGGGCAGGATGCTGGCCAAGTGATACTTCACCTGCAGCGACTGCAACGGGCATCGCAGCATTTGGCCTCATGCAGACCCCTGCACAAATAAGTTTCGCACATAGGTCGTAGTCAGTGCGGCAGGCAGGCGGCCAGCTGCGAACGGCTCTGGCCTTGAGAGCCAAAAAAGAAGAACCTTTTTCAGTCTGTTCTGTTTGGCTACATAAGATCCACTGAAAAAGGCCATGAGGGGTCCCAGGATGGATTGAAACAGCAGCAGGGAGGCGTCAGAGGCTACTGCAGAAGTGGCAGCACGGAGGTGTAGTCAAATGCGGGCACGACCTGCAACTTTGCATGATCTTTGTCTCTTTGCTTGCGCCCGGCTGCATTCCCGAACTACCGCAACACGACTGGTCTGCATAAACTTGCTTCATCGAGCTGAAGAGGTGCTGCTTTGCTGACCATCTCAAGTTATTTTGCTACTGCACTGAGTTATCTTGGGTGCCAGCAGCAGTCCCTAGGTCGGACTAAGCATGACATGCAAGCGGACGCAGACCTCGGGGTGCTGAAACAAGACTGGCCCACTCCCCAAGTTATATGGAAAACTGCCGTAAACCCATTGGGTTCAGGAATGTGCCTGGCCAAATAACATCAAAGAATATCAAATAACACTCAAGAAGACGACTGAGTCGGCCTCCGGATCCTTGCACTTCTGCTTGCCTGTCTCATCCACTCCAGCCTGAAACCCGAAGCATGAGCCCTCATGAAGCCTGCCACATGGAAACGCAGCTCGATTGTCCATGGTGCCAAGGCAGACACATTGTCAGGCTGCTCGCTGTAGCCTGCCTCTGCTGCAAATGCACATCTCCAGTTCACGGACTCGTCCTGTTGCTGAGTCCTTTCGCAGATGACTCCGTGCCTTGCTCTCTCTGGCTTCTTTCGCCTTTTGCTTGGCTTCCTGCAGGCATAACCAAGTGCTCAGAATGCCACAGCACCACCCACGAAAAGGAGGCCTCCCGCTCCCGTTCTCTCTGCGCACGTTTTATGAGCACCTGGCCGGTGATCTCCCAATGCTGAGAACAGCCTTGTGGCAAGCTCCAGCAGCTGCCTCGTGCTTCAAGGCAGCCACTCGTTCGAGACCCCCAAGTGCAACAGCACCCACCTGCCGCAAATTTGTGCTGAATTCTCTTGCTGGATTGCAAGCGCATTAGCACAGTCGGATATAGGGCCAACTCCGCCTGCTCAGCCTCCTCATCTGAAGAAACGCCTCCGAGATAACTGTGAAACTGTGATTAAGCATACCAGATGGCATGAACTTCGCATAGCTTGCGAGCAGGCATGACAGAGCATCGCTTTATCTTGCTGACCTAGAAGCAGCAGGAGCAGCCGCGACTCAAACTTGTCGAAACCCTCTGGCCTAAGACAATGCCATGCTGCTAGCAAAACTTCCCAGAGGCCACCGAAACGATCAGTCGCCGGCCCATCATCGTTGAGATTACTGACCAGCGGAGCTCGAAAGCTCAGACCCTTCAGCAGCCACCTCGGCAATGGCCCCTCCTTGCCGGGAAAAGGGGGGAGCCAGCATCCAGGGCCCGCCGCCTTTCCAAGGTTTCTGCCAGGCTTTGTCTCACGCCAGGTGTCCTTGCATGGAGACTGTCTCATGTCAGACTTGAGGACCCATTAGCACAAGAGAGGCTCTGTCTGCCCGACCTGTCGGCGAGAAGGGCGTTGAGGTGCGGGAGGATGTCCTGCTTAATGTGTCGTCTGATGAGGCTGCTCTCATGTAAATGTATGTGGAGGAGAAGCCACATGCTGCCACAGGACGAGCTGCTGTGAGACTTTGCACTTAGCAGCCAACTTAGCAGTTGTCTCAAATGTTGAACCGCTCACAACGACTACAATAAACGTAAGTACATGGAAGATTCTGGGAAGAGTGCCACTGTGGTTTCCCTCCAATTGGCATCCTCCATGTGGTCCATCATCGGTGCCTCTTGAAGAAGCAGTGCCCCAATGCTCTCCAGCGTGGCTCTCCTGACCTGACAGATACCGCCACTAACAACAAAATCTTGCAGACTGTTCCTTACTGTCAAAAACCGACCAAAGGCTTTGCACCACCATAAAGAGCCCGCATCAACGCTAGAATAATGCCCAGAGAATCTACATCCAACACGCAAATGCCGGCCTTCCACTGCTGATGCTTGAGGTTCGCAAGTAGTGAGCCTACCTCAGATGTCTTCCAAAACCAGAAATGTTTAGAAGCTCTGCTGCCTGCAGTTGCCTGCAGTTGCCTGCATCTGCCTACGACGAATCTAAGCAAAGCACAAGGGGACCACAGGCTCGGCTGATTCTCTCTGCCTCGAAGTACTGGCTCACCTGCTGGCGGCAACAAATTCTGCGAGTCTGCCACTTGGTTAGGCGCCTTTTTGGTGATCTCGCAGCACTCCTTCTTGGCATCGGGGCAGGTGTCTGTCAAAGCCTGCGTTCCATTGCAGCGTGTGAATGCTGATCAACACAAAACTTGCTACTGCTTTGCTGCCTTGGACAGTGCGTCCAACACATCACTTGCGAAGGGACTCAAACGCTCCTCAAGCAGAGGATATATTTGCGTTGACCACAACATGCATGTGCTCGATGCTTACACGGCCTACAAACTTTGTTCTAGGGGGGTCAATTGCACCTTGCACAGATCGAACAGGTGGCTGAGCAACCGCAAAGCCTGACCAGTGTCACGTCCAGGATTCCCCAGCAACTGTTTGTACAGGAAGCCTCCAGTCGCAGCTCCTCACTCTGCTCGGGGAAGGGGTGACCTGTCCAGCCGTCCGAACTTTCAACTTCAAGTCAGCTAGCAGCACTCAGCCTGACATACCACTGCGACCAAGCAGCTCCTGAAACGACCGAGGAGAGCTGCAAGCAACAGCCTCGGAAAAACATCATTTCAGAAATCAATCCAATGCAGAGGCATCATCAAAGCTGTTGCTGGCTTTGGCTTTTCCAAGTGGCCAGCGGGAGAATATTCTCTAGATCTTGGACCTGTTTCAGGAAACTTGTCTACCGGTGGAAAGCCCAACGAAAACTGAACTAAGTCCACGGCAGGCAAGAGATCTGCAAAGCGCTGCGTCATGGACAGCGAAACTTCGCGACACTTCTCACCCTGGTCTGCAAACCTGGCCAGTTGTTATCAAACTGCAGGTTTGACGCTGGTGCATGTGCTTGTAGTGAAGACTTCCCTCAACATGCAGCAAGCATTGCAGACATGTACCATGGTGCTCCCGCAGCTGGCCAGCTAAGTGTTGAAACTGCCAAACTGTGCCATAGGCACATTCTGAAGAGAGGCTTGTGAAGCTCTTCCACAAAGACTTTGCGGACATAGTCCGCTGGGGCTTTGCTGCCTTAACATCCGTGAACCAAAGTGTGCAAACCCAAACCCGTAAAAAAACATCAGATGTTAAATTGAGTGGTGAAGGCGTTCCTAGCCTTGCATATTGCACTGACAACAACAAGGATGGCAATCGCAGCAACTGTACTGCTAGTATCAATAAGCACAGTCTTAGTGCTCTCAACACGGCGATTAGAATAAAGCAAAATGACGGTTCAGTTTTGTTTCACGGAGGGAAACATGAGCAAGAGTTTGCTCGGACCATGGCTGCCCAGCAGTGTCTTGTCCTTGGATGAGCCACATAGCATCATGTACAACAATCATTGGTGCTTCATCAGGTATTCGATAAATATGCGGGCATCGGTAAATTACATGGGCCTGAGGATGGAACCAATTTGAGAACTGCTCCTCGTCTAACTGCTCGATCATTATCTGTCAGGCCTGCAGCATTTTCGTTGTTCCTCTAATTCTTGATTCAGACCAACAAGACGTGCACAAATGCCACATGGTCCAATCTTTGTTTGCTTGGTCAAATTTAGACAAGACTGGGGGCCGCTCAATTTATGTCCCTTCGAACGGTGAGCAGGAACTCCTGCACAAAAAGCATGTACAGGCACACATTGATGTCAACACCCAATGAACATCCTGCCGATTCAAGACGCACCTTTGTACTGCTTTCAAACGATGGCAACACTTGTTGTGCCAAGTGAAAACCAACAAAAACCTCTGAATTACATCCAAGTTTCATGCCATTTCGTGTTGATTCCGCCAGATGGGATACGCGCAATATGACAACACATGTTCTTCAATCATGTCAACCTGACCAAATTTCCGCCGTCCACGGTCCTGGTATCCGTCCATGTTCTGGCCGTCACCTGTATCGCAGCACCAGCTTCCGCGCGGATGCATTAGATTGATTTGGATAGCACATGCTACCGTCATGGACACATGGTCTGGGCATCACACGTGGCACTGACCAAACAATGCACGAATTCTCAAAAAAAAAGCTGTTTGTTTTGGTTTGCTTGGGTTAAGACCTTGCTTCGCGCAACGAAATACGAAGTTTGGATGCAACATAAAAGCTTCGCCCGAAATACAACTATCTAAATCCACTCTTTGGCGGGTCGCATTCATCACACGCGGTTACATCCAGGAGGAACCTGTTGTGGGGTAAGCTTTGTTCATGGATCTGCTGCCTGAGACGAACGGGAAGCTGGCAAATACCGCGGCATGCACCAATCTCGAGATTATCCGTGAAATTACTTCACTATTACTGATCTTAAATACAATTCTTCTTTTTTAAGACTTGAATGGTCCCAAAATCCTTGAGTTTGTCTTCAGCCAATTGCTGTTATACAACAAAACGACAATCACGCCAATAAGTCTCAGACAACAACCGGAACAACCAACGCGCCTGACATGTCTGTCCTACTTTGATTTTGTGCGAATGACAGCCGTCCAATCACGACCAATCTGCAAACAAATTCCTCTGACTTGTGTGCAAAATACTGCATTTGCGGCTCTTCAGAAGTTACGAGTATTGCGAAAGACCGCATTTGCCGCTGTTGAAAGACTACAAACAGTCCCATTACAGCATGACGCAAATAAGAACATGTAGCTTGAGCACACCTTTAATGCAATGGTTAAGTATTATGCCTGCATTTCGAAAGTAGCAGTTGGAGGGGCGCAACGCCTTCCATACGCAAAACATGGACAGTGATCAAAGCATGTCGAACATGGTGCACGCATTACAAAGTTAGTAGGGGTTGGAGAGGCGCAGGCACTCCATTGCACAAACATTAACAAAACCAGAACATTGAGCTCAAATACACCTTTAATGGAAGGTTTTATTTTCTCAAACCATTTTGCAATCACAGCCGTATTCCAACAGGCAAGAAGAAATTTTTCCAAACAATGGAATCAAATCAGCTTCCCATCAAATACATACACATTTATATACATTCAAAGGAAGTCCATCACACATGTATAGATCATTCCCAATCAATCAATCTTCCGCTTACACACTCTTTTTTTAATCGAGGGCATCCATGACGCATTTTGGGCGTTATGGCGCACAAGCAAGCCCAGTTGGCAAAGATCACACTCACATTCCTCCGACATAAGTGAGCTTTAGCTGCACCAAAACTGACTTGACTTAACGCAGGCAATGTTGCTCGGGACTTTAGCGTCGAATCGTCTGGCTGCCTCACGGAACTGGTTCCCTGAGAGAAGGACACTTTTTCGCACTTTCAACCGCAGTGGTCTGATCTGACCTAGCGCGGCTGCTTAATGGCAGCAGATGCTAATGGGTGTGAAACAGAAAAGCGGTTACCCCACAACAGCCGGAGCTCACTGACTGTGGGAGAGGGCGCTACGTGCAGCTAAGTGACATGATTGTCACGGAGCAGGCGAGGACGGCATTTTCCAAACATCAGGACTCCATTCAAGCAGAAAGCGAAGAATTAACCATCAAGCAAAACGAGCCAAGTTGTCTCTTTGGTTGCATCACCAGCAGCTCAGAGCAAATTGAAGATGCAGAGGTGGCACGATGTATGGATACAATTGAGTTTAGGCCAGCAAAGGCCAGATATCTGCACCCAAATGATAGACCGTCATAGGGGTCCATTGAAGGCATTCTAGGTCCTGCCATTCAATGAATGTCTTGCGCGACTCCACAGGCACAGACGTTGCCAGGAATTCGTATGCCGTGGTCTCACGGCATGTGCTTCGTGCGTCTCACAATTTCAACTTCCCTTCCATTTTTCCATCACGCTGATTTGTGAAGTGGAGCGACAAGATGTCCTGCGCACAAGAGCACCTCCATCTTGTCAGATAGCTCCCCCCTACACGTCTCTGCGTAAAATATGAGCATCATTGGCAGTATAGCACATCCCGGTATGATCCCACAATGTCTCCTTGTGTAAGTGTAAGAAGTTTTGCAAAGTGACGGGTAGCAGGCTGAGATATATAACGAAGGAGGCTTCTTTGGTCACTCATTCGCCAAGTGCGTCTTGCAACTTGCAAGCGACACCTTGCAACTTGCCAGCCGCACCTTGCAACTTGCATTGCAGCGACATCCGCAAATTGCAACTTGTAATTCGAAGGCTCGGAGCGTCATCTTTACTGAAGGAAACGGAAAGTCCAAAGATAAAAGTCTTAAAGCGTCAGCGTTTTTTCATTTACAGGAAGGCTACGAGAGGGTAATCTTTCATTGGAAAGGAAGCGGATAGCTCAATGCTGAAAGGTCTTAAAGCGGCAGCGTTTTTTCATTCTGAGGAAGGCTCGGGAAGTCATCTTTCATTTGAAAGGAAGTGAAAAGTCTAAAGATGAAAGTCTTAAAGGCGTCAGCGTCTTTCATCCTGAAGAAGGGTCCGGAGAGTCTTTTCATTTTGAAGGAAGCGGAAAGCCTAAAGATGAAAGTTTTAAAGCGTCAGCGTCTTTCATTATGAGGAAGGCTCGGCAAAGTCCTCTTTCATTTTAAGGAAGCGGAAAGCC